GCAGCTCATTGTAACACATGAAATTGAAATGTCAACAGTTGATGCCTCTATATCTTGTGCAATTGTTTTTAATACTGGCTTTACTCCGTGTGGGTTTTTAATTCTTATTTTTACCTCATAAAATGTAAGTTTGATTAACACAAGCTATGAAATGATCAATCACAGCGTATAACTACTACCATCTTTAAAAGATTCACGATTTTCTTTACATTTTATAAAAAATGAATGTTGCTTCTCGTTGCCGTTAAGTGTGATATAACTTAATGGTTTATTTCGTTATATACTTTAGTAAATTGCACTCTTATCGGAAACTAATTTCAGGGGAAAAGAAAATTGCTTCACGATTTAAATACATTAATTTTCAAATCAGACAGGAAATTGTTATAATTTAAAAGCTTATTGAATAAAAACCATTTAGGAAAAGAATGTTAAGATTTTCAATCTTCACATTGTCGTTCATCAGTTAGATCTCTACATTTAATTGCAGTTTTCAGCCCAATAAAATACCGGATACAAATTTAAAACCCAAGTAAAGTAGATATTGAATTAATAAACGACAAACATTAGTTATCGCGTTATCAATATTAAAGGTAAATAGAAATACTGCAAAAATAAAACTGTTAAGGAATTGCAGGCTTCTCAGGCATGAACTGGAAAAATAGGGAATGGGAATAAGTGCTCCATTTAAATTCAATAGGTTCCTAACAGATAAAGAAACGCCCTGATTTTCTTTGCTAAATTAGTTAAGCCATTTATACAGAACAGAATTGAGCAGGAAAGACTTTTATAACGTGTACGCTGATGGTACATTGTTATAACAACACAATATAATTTGTAGGACACATAATGTACAAATCAATACAATACAGAGCAAAAGGTTTATTAATACATACAATGCAATGCTTCACAAAAACTAACAAAACACTTTGGCTCAATTCAGTATTCATTTTCATAAATTACTTCTGTAAATATATAATGAATTGAACTAAGGTTAAGCAGTTATACATCGTCGGTGAAAATAAAAAGTTTAAACTGATACTGTATTATAGTGATGATTGTCAACCCAACGATAACTTTTAATATAATTGCTATTAATTGCAAATAAATAGCATTCAAAATATTATCCAAATACATGTATCGCAATATTGCTTTCCATTAAATTACATAAAATAGTAGATGATTTATTTAATATAACACATATTTGTGATATGATCAAATATATCAGCAATAAAAGAAATTCATGGTTTAAATTTCAGAGTGCATCAATATATATCCTACAGAACGTTTGAATAAATAAAGCGATATCCTGTTACGAAAATGATTGATTGATACTACAACATTTTATGTTAACATTTCAGCAATATCTGGAAAAAAACTAGTATTATTGAAAGATATATTGCGACGTTGTTATTTGAAATAACCACAGTCAAATCTGTTTTGCTACATCAATTGTGAAGACTATACAATTTTAGAGCATAAATTGAGACACTCGAATTTTCAGTCATAGAATTTTTATGTTTTGAGAATTTCTAAATTTTATGATGTTTTATAGATTGAATGATAACCAGTATTTTAGCTGTAAAAGATTTTGCATTGAACTCTCTCGATATATTTGTTAAACAATCGAAGTTTCCAATTTCGTTCTAATTATCTACATTGTCAGATTTGGAAAACATTATTTAAAGATATAATGAACTTGAACAAAAAAGAGAATTGTTACGTCGTATAAATGAAGAATACATTTTCCGACTTGTCAGAACTTGATCTGCTTTTGATAAATGATATATTTCTATGATAACAAAAGTTACATGGACTTGATAAATTTCCAAAGATATGTCCTCATTCAATATATTTTAGAAGAAACTACTTTTGGAAGTTTAAATTTCTTTATCCTGGTCGTATATGACAAACAACAAATATGGATAAAGGGAAATTGCGTTTATGTGTCAGGTGGTGCATTACGGATAACAAAACTTCCAGAAACATTTAGACGAAAATATTCACTTTGTTATTACTGTTTATCTGTTAATTTATTGAAGTTTAGAATTTAAAGGAGTGACTTTTGAAAGCCCGTCTGTCCATATGAAACGATGAACATATTATTTTTTTATATTTACCTTAATACGTTATATTGGTCAAGGAGAAAATCAATGCATATTGTCAGTCAATGAGAAAATCGACACCGGTAGTTTACAATATTTCAAACTACATACATAATCCGTTGAATATTTTAATTTATAGCATATAAAGCAACGATACAGTTCTCCTCACGGCTATACAGAAAAACCACAGATTTAATATAATCAGTACTTTTTATATAAGGAAGCGTCTAGCATATGCAAATAATATCATTACAATTACTTTTCTAGACATTTAATCTCCATTTAAAAACATTCATTTGTTTGTTAATTGATTGAGACATCGCAGGTATATACGTATGTTCAGGACAGTTGCCCCTAGCTCTTAATATTCATCTTTGCAAATTTGCCGCCTTTCTCACCTCCCCTAAAGTGGAAACATCCCCTTGCGCATTTCCCCCATAAAAAGATTATGTATGAAAAAGTATCACATTCAAAGAGCTGATTCTAAAGGGAGCCAAAATATATATTTTGACATCTGCATTAGATTTGTAAATACACATGGCACAAGCAACGGTTTCTTCATATGAAATAAAGATAACGAAACGAATTTAGACGTATACAAGAATAGCGCGAATGCACATAAGTTTCGTGCGTAAACATTTACTTAATAAATTCCTCGCCCTGTGGACTCCCTTGTCATTCTAGAAGATGTTATACTCAAACAAGGATTGTAAAATGATCATGTCGACTAGAAATTAAGAACTTTTAAATTGTGTTACATGTATTTACATTATGCTTTCGATATATTCAAGAGTTATATATAAAAATATACTTCTATTGACACATGTTGTAGAGGTTAAAGTATCTCCGCTTGACACGCAAGTCACATTTTTGTTTATAAGCGTGCACATTTTTGTTTATATGCACGCTTGTCTTTACTGCAATAATTGTAAAATTAATTTTGTATTCTTTGCATGGGCCGAGCGCCTTTTCCTTAGAACGACTGACACATTTACCAACGTCTTCATATAGACTTGCCCCTTTCCCCAAACCAATAGACAGTGTAGTCTCCTATCCCGAATTGGCACTAGACAGGGGTCAATCTACTTCATGAAAAGCGTGACATAAACAGGTGTGTAAGAGAACGTGATTACATTATGTACGGCAAATTATGACAAAGTGATTGTTATATCCTTAAATAAGAAAGAAGTAGTGATCCAGTAAATGTGTCCCGTGAATTGCATTACTTTTCTTTTCCCTACATTAAATTAAGACAAAACATTTTTCAGGAGTCACGCACCTCCTAAGAAACATATGTACATGGTAGAACGCAAATATAATTCTGTCGGACAAGCAAAGTTTGACACGAGTTTTTAGATGAAGCAAACGTTATATATTGTGATACATACACACAAGAAGTACAATCACGGCTTTTATTACATGTACAATGGCCGTGACAATGCACTACAGATAATTAATGCTAGGATATAAGTCATGCTCTTGTCATCAACATTTAAGATTCACTTCCTGCTGTCAAATCGTGTCTGGGAAACGGCTATAGAAATATAATTGGCATCGTAGGGAGTAGATAACATTCGATTCATTTACATTATAATGAAAATAGCCTGGACTTCGTCCGTGTATGGTTTAATTAATACTAGTAAATGATCTTCTATACTATACGTGTGAATGTCAGATTATATTTTATTATTACATAAAAAAATTTGCAGACTGGTTTGTACAAAATAATAACTTTGTAAAGAACTAAACATGTTGCTTTAATTATCAGTCATCTTAGTTTACAAAATTCCAAATACATTCTTATACAGCATTTTTACATTTCAAAAGTCGATTTATGATATTTTAAGGTGAATTCCGATCATTTGACTAGGTCTTAGGCTGACATTAAGTATAAAATCGGTACACATTAGTCAAATCTCTTTACTTCGTGTTGACACAGATGACAGAAGCCATCATAAATCTTTGCAGAGATGTCAACGTAATCTTATTAAATGCTGTAATACAATTAAATATATCTGCACATTTTGTTTTTAAGTCTATATCTGAACAAGAGTTATAAAGCAATCAAGTAGATTATTTATCAATATGTGGCCTTTCTTTACAAGATAATTAGTGTACCTGAAAAGGCTTAAATATAACGAAGCCTCACTACAATCTGTTATAAATTCATAAACAAAAGGCTTACCAACCTGACAGAGGATTGTCTTGAGTCTAAAAGTGTAATTCAATTTTTGTTCAAGGTTCAACAGTATCAAACATCAATTTCAAAAATTATTCTCAGCAGTTGTATAAGAAAACTGTCTTAAAATTCTGGACAAAACCTATATTTCTAATTACTGAATTGAAAACAAAATATGTCCCCTGATAGGACGCTTAACTTTTCTCAGCGCTGGATAGTTACATAAATGCAATCTAGAAACAGAGGCATAACTTTGCAAAAAATAATTTAGAATTATCTTCCCTTTTGCTATGTCGTCCTTTTATGACAATTAACATGTATACCAAGTCTGAAGTGAATAGCTTTTAAAGTTTCTAAGAAAATGGACCATAACAAAAACAATGAAAACATTCACCAATGCCAACACTGAAGCAGACTGGCTCATGACAATAGCTCTACTTTTTCTATGTAAAGTTCAGCTAAAATCAATAACAAGTGATCTTTTAAGTACATGGTTTATAATATGTGGACAATGTCTGACATGATCAACAAAAACATTATCTGTATATTTAAATTGTTTAATGGCAATTTACAAAGTAGACAAATGTATCACTTTTATAATGAAAAGAAAATTGTCGACAATTTATAGACAATAAATACATTTAGACAATAATTTCTCAAAATGTGTTGTTCAATGTGTAGTGTTAGTGATCTAAGTATTCAAAATTTCAAAAAATAAATACTGGAGCTGTTTTCTTAATCAGTAAAAATGAACTAAACTGATATGAATTCTGCAGTGATAAATCAAATTTATAACTCTAAGGCATATTAAAACCCTTTTTTGTTAGAACATAAATATATCAATGGTATCACATAAAGTCAATCTGTTTCAAACGCAAAGTTTACATTGGCATGGTGAGATGCTTTTTTTTCTATTGTATTTTTATTGTCAATTGAGTATAGCACATGATGAAGTAGCACTGATGATGATGACGATGAACACAATATCTGAAAAGAAAACATATTATTGATAGTCAAATATCAAAAAAATGCTTTAGAAGTTTAAAAAAAACCTAATGACCTACTGAACAAGATATTGTAATATATCTTTTTAAATAAGTCATCTATTGATTCAATGATTGACTAAATTGACTAAAATCACACCAATCTAGTTTAATATTGTTTTTTATTACATTTCAAAAACAGTATAATTGATAAAATTTGATACCATAATTCTTCATTAACCCACGCACACTTTTTTCTGCATAGATGAAGAGAATAATTAAATAAAATTTATTTATAAATACTGCAGATAAAGTGTGAAATAAGTCAATACAACCTAAGTTTCTATGGAACCGTATGAATATAAATTATAAATATACAATGAACAAGATAAGATGTAACTTTGACAGACATCTAAGGCAAACGAGAAAATTCCAGGTCTAAGCATTCTAAGAAAGCTAAAGACTCCTTCCATTTCATTATTCTCTCTCCATTTTAATACACTTTCTAAAGTGGAAAGTAAATATTTAATCTGACAATATGGCCTGCAATCTCTCTCATTTAATTTCATTAAATATTCTATATCACAATCAGGTTGATGGATTTCCTGAATATTTCATTTATTAAACCCACTTGTTCACAAATAGGTTAGAAAACTCCAATATGATTAGCACTGACTTGATTATATGCTAATCAGAATCTCTAAATAAAGCACATCAAAAAGTACAAAATCAATTTATTGATAACACTTCACAATCCCTCTAATTCAACATTTGCACTTTATTTAATTAAGCTATTTTTTTACCCACTTCCTTAACAGAGTTGTTCTTAAAATGTCAATTAAATCACTAACATCGTATAAACAAATGATTTCTGTAGATTAATGTTTTTGAATTAAAGTGAATAAATATAAAAAGAGTAAGTTGTACAACAAGAGGAGGTCAGAACATATGTTTGATGCCTTATATAAACAAACAATATCCCCCTCCACCCTTCTATGTGGCATGCATTTATTTGCCCTAACAATACAATATCATAAAACTTAGCTGTGTAGTGCTTCCAGTTTTGTTTTTTTTTTGCAAAAAGAGTCACATATACCTGCACAAATTAATCCATTCTGCCTTTCAAAATTCTTTTTGTTACTTTATCTTTCTCACTGAAAACACACAAATGAAATTATTGAAAAGGTATATGTACATGAGTAAGTTGATAAAAAAAATACGGTTTGTTATAATGGTTCTATTTGTTGGTCTATAAATAGCATTTAACTACTGTAGCTATATATTTGTCTTGAAATTAAATAAAGTATAATGCTACTACCATTTAAGTAATGGGAGAGAACTATATTTTTCCCTTCCAACATGAAATTGCTTGAGTTACTTTCCCTGATTAGTATATTATCGGTATCCAAGACACACATTATGCTTTCAAAGAAAAGAAAGTGATATATTCAAGAGTTATACATAAAAATATACTTCTATTGACACATGTTGTAGAGGTTAAAGTATCTCCGCTTGACACGCAAGTCACATTTTTGTTTATAATCACGCTTGCCGTTATTGCAATGTTTGTAATTGTATTCTTTGCATGGGCATGACGCCTTTTCCTTAGAACGACTGACACATTTACCAATAATGTATATAGTTTTGTATAATTAAATTTATCAAGTTTGTACAAATTAAACTTTGTAAAGAACTACATGTATGTTTAATTATCAGGTCATCTTAGTTTACAAAATTCAAATACATTCTTATTCAGCATTTTTCATTCAGAAGTGATTTATGATATTTTAAGATGTTTTCCATCATTTGACTAGGTCTTAGGCTGCCATTAAGTATAAAATCAGTTTACTTTAGTCAAATCTCTTTACTTCGTGTTGACACATCACAGTAGCCATCATAAATCTTTGCAGAGATGTCAACAAAATCTTATTAAATGCTGTGATACAAACTAAATATATCTGCAAATTTTGTTTTTAAGTTTATATCTGAACAAAAGTTATAAAGCAATCAAGTTGATTATTCATCAATATGTGGCCTTTCTTTACAAGATGATAAGTGTGCCTGAAAATGCTTAAATATAGCGGAGCCTCACTAAAATAGCTCACTACAATCTGTTATAAATTCATAATCAAAAGGCTTACCAACCTGACAGAGGATTGTCTTGAATGTATAAGAGTAATTTAATTTTTGTTCAAGGTTCAACAGTATCAATTACCAATATCAAAAGTTATTTTCAGCAGTAGTATAAGAAAACTGAAAGATTCCGGACAAAACCTATATTTCTAATTACAAATGCACTTAATTGACAACAAAATTTGTCCCCTGATAGGATGCATAACTTTTATCAGCACTGGATAGTTGCATAAATACAGTATAGAAAAAGGGTCATAACTTTGCAAAAACTAATTTAGAATTATCTTCCCTTTTGGCATATCGGCCTTTTATAACAATTAACATGTACACCAAGTTTGAAGCGAATAGATTTTTAAAGTTTTTAAGAAAAGGGGCCATAACAAAAACTATGAAAACATTAACCAATGCCAACACTGAAGCAGACTGTGTCATGACAATAGCTCTACTTTTTCTATGTAAATCAATAACAAGTGATTTTTAAGTAAATGGTATATAATATGTGGACATGATCAACAAAAAACATTTTTATCTGTTTTTTAAATTGTTTAATGGCAATTTACAAAGTAGACAAATGTATCACTTTAATAATGAAAAGAAAATTGTCGACAATTTATAGACAATAAATACATTTAAATTTCAAAAATTTTGTTCAATGTTATTGGTTCAATTTTAAGAATTTGAAAAGGGTATTAAAAAATTTGAAAAAAAAATTAAATACTGGGCTGTTTTCTTACTCTAAAAATGAAACAAACGATATGAATTCAATTATAAAATTTCCTAAAGGCAAAATTTTTTTGAAACATAAAAAATTCAATGGTACCACAAAAGTCAATCGTTTACGCAAAATTTTACACGGGCATACTGAGATGATTTTTCTATTCTATTTTTATTGTCTATTGAGTATAGCACATGATGAAGTAGCACTATTGATGATGACGATGAACACAAAATCTGAAAAGATAAGTCAAATCATATTTATAAGTATCAACATATACATCAGTATTTTTTAAAACGAATGATCTAGTGAATGAGTAATATTTCTTTTTAAATAAGTCATCTATTGATTCAATGATTGAGTAAGTCACACAAATCTAGTTCAATATTGTTCTTCATTACATTTCAAAACCAGTATCATTGATAAAATTAAATACCATAATTCTTCATTAACCCACACACACTTTTTTCTGCATAGAAGAGTAAAACAATTAAATAAATACTGCAGATAAAGTGTGTGAAAAAAAGTTAATACAACTTAGGTCTCAATGGAACCATATGAATATAAATTATAAATATACAATGAATAAGATAGGATGTAACTTTGACAGACGTCTAAGGCAAATGAGAAAATTTCTGGTCTAAGCATTCAATTAATTTCTCTCATTTTGATACACTTTCTAAAGTGGAAAGTAAATATTTAATCTGACAATATGGCCTGCAATCTCTCTCATTTAAATTCATTAAATATTCTATCTCACAATCAGGTTGATGGATTTCCTGAATATTTCATTTATTAAACCCATTTGTTCACAAATAGGTTAGAAAATTCCAATATGATCAGCACTGACTTGATTATATGCTATTCAGAATCTCTAAATATAGTACATAAAAAGTACAAAATCAATCTATTGTAAACATTTTACAGTTCCTCTAATTCAACATTTTCACTTTGTTTAATTAACATAATATTTGCCCATTCCTTAATATAATTTAAATAAAAGATTGTATGTTTTATTTGTTGATATGATGAAATGTTTTGACTCAGTTTATAGAAATGGCCTTTGTTTTAAATCGTTTATTTGAGGAATTCAAGGGCAGTTACTCAGTATAATACGTGATTTGTACAAAAAAGTAAAATCTTGTTAAGTGTTAAGTCCTGTTCTAGCTATTTTGATTTTTTTTCTGTATGATGTAGATCTTCGTTAAGGGTAAGTAATGTCCCCTCTTTTATTTTCTCTTTTTGTTGAAGACCTTTAATTATATCTCCAGTCTAAAACTGAAGCAGGTTTTACTTTAGATGACATAGTTTTAAATCGTTTATTACCATATAGTCATAGATATGTAAGAATTATTAAGTTCTGATTAAATCTTGTAAATACAGACAATATAATATCAAAACCAGTTTACACTCAAGCACTTGAAGATAGCAATAAAGGACAGACAAATTTGTTTTCTAATGTTCAAAATATTTTTTAATGATTGTGGATTTTCATACATTTTTTATAATTGTGACAATATAGACAAGGTTATGTTTTTATTCGACCTTAAATGCCGTCTTATTGATGCCTTCAAACAAGAATGATTCAGTACGTGAAACAAGTTTTTGTATATATAGAAATGTTAAATCTTGTTTCGAATATGAAAGTTTTTAGATATACTGCCTCGGTGTTTTTAGATTTTGTTTTTGTAGATTAAGAATGAATGGTCTTTGGCTTAGAATTCAAATTGGATTTAGTAGAAATAGGATTCCTCGCGAAGAAAGACATTGTTTGTGTTGCAATAATTTAGATAATATATACTGTAAAATTCAAAAAATAAAAATGAGAGTATACGTTTATCAAAATTCGTTAACGAATCACTTTCCATATGGTGTACCATTTTAATTGCTAATGTCTGACATTACAATCAATGTTCACTTGCCAAATTCCAGTAATATTCATAATTAATCTTATTTATTTATAAAAGTATACAGTAAATGCACATCTTTTGCCATAGCTATATGCTTGTTGTTTGTTTGTTTGTTTATTTGTTTATCTTCTTATTTATGATAATGAAATTATTGTATACATAAAATGTGATATTCATGTTTTAATTGTAAATTTTCATGCAGCATTTATATATGTGAATAGTATGTATTGTAGATAATGTACGTGT